CACAGGGTTGCAAAATGAAATGAGGTTGTAGTTCATTCATGACTCGAGAACAACATGACCATACAAAAACAGTAGTGCATTCCTGTTGTGCATTCTTTTAATTTACATCAGGAGGAATGTAAACCGCACAAATAGAAGAAAACTGTGAATTATCAGTAAAGAATCTGCATCTTAACATTGTGACAACAGGGAAATATTGTCCATCAACTATGATGTTTAAGCACCAAGCATCAGTGATTGCTTTTATTAATATAATGTATCCCTAAACTTCCACCACTGCTACTCAGCAAGGTATATAATGTCAAATGTTTTGTTGAGATTAAACATGTTAGCCTTCATTTATGCTGCCACTGTACATCCTGCAAGGGTGCTGTAACCTGCAGAACCTGTTTGAGGCGTGATCAAATAAACACAATAATGACAATGCTCTCTTACATTAAACATGTACGACTAATAAGATTCACAGTGTATGGTGCATTTTCATAATGCACTGGTTTCATTCAAATACAATTTACAATAGCCTGTAAGTTTATGTTTCACATGAATAAACCATGTGATAGCTATTGAAACACAAGCTGCATGTCATGCTCTTTCTACAATGTATTTAGCAAGTTGTGCATGAAGGAGAAAAGGTTTGTTGATCTAAAATAAAACAAAGGATTCAGGTACATGTTACTTAGATTTGGTTTGCAGATACAAGACAAGGGATCCATTGTGACACACATTTTAAAACAACACAGACAACAGGCAAATCTTTAAGAAGTCCCCCGAGCTCCATCATTAAATACATTTAAAATCCGGTTGTACAAACATGAACATCCAATGGCCTGAAATGTTGACTTAGTTTCATCCCTGCTCTGACTCTCAGAGGGAGAAACACTGTCAGGTGATTTCCAGGCCGAGACCAAACCTCACCTGTGATGGAATGATCCAACTGTCACATTAACAACATGTGACCTGCGTGCAGCACTGACACACCCACAATCTTTATTTCATACGACGCCTTATAAATACCATCTGAACACACACATTACGCACAAATATTTTTTATTTCCACACCAGGTATGTATGGGAATAGCAGCATTGTTGCTTATTTGTAATAACTGCTGGGAAGCTTTATAATTCTCCAAATGTTTTGTTTCCCCAGGAAAATACTTTCTGCTCCATTGCATTTACTGCAAAGACAAAATGTGTGATCGTAAGTCTCTTTAAGTAATTGTTACATTTTTGAATCATTTGTAAGAATGCTTTGGAGTTGTTTTGTAATTAATAACATGTTTTTAACAAAATAAATTGTATTTGTTTTTTGTCTTTCCATCACAGGCGAGGCCAAGGTGAGTTTATTTTCTTACAGTGCAATAGGCCTGTTACTAACGGCATGACAACATGTGTACTTATGAAGTGTTTCCCTCATCTAGACCACGATGGAAGAGGGAAAAGAGGAAGGAGGTGAAAAGGTAAGACATTTTAGAACTTAAACTGGGCTGCCCCTCTTGCTGATTCAGTCATTTTAAAGTGCTTGTATCGACTTCCCATTAACCAGGGAGAAAAGGGACATGGAAGAGGAGGATGTGAAAAAGGAGAAGAACAGAGAAAAGGATGTGGAAAAGGAGAAGAACAGAGAAAAGGATGTGGAAAAGCAGAAGAACAAGGAAAAGGATGTGAAAAAGGAGGAGAACAAGGAAAATGATGTGGAAAAAGCGATGAACCTGGAAAAGGACATCAGAAATAAGAGCAGAATTCCTAAAACTTCCATTCTGCAATAATGTTTGTAAAGAATGAAATACATATTCAATAAATCAATTCAGAAAAAATACTGGTTTGCTGGTTTGCTGTTGTTTAGATAAATGAAATGTTGGGGGAAGACTTCAATACTTTATATTCATGAAAAATATATGAAATGATCTCTGTAATTTGATAGTGGTATACACACACAGTGGACAGGCTGGAGTTTCCCTGAGGAATATTATGATGTGGGTTTGTATTGGATGTTTGAGCTATGACAACATTATGACAACATTATGAGAACCTCTGCGTAGAATAAGCACATTGAGAAGGCATTGAAATAATACAAGTCAGGATGACTACATAGAAACCAATCCATTTTAACATCAATATTAAACTGAAACATTATGATATGTACATAGACACAACAGAAAACACACTGTTATGTTTAAGATAAATTAACCCTAATACTCAGAGACAGAAATATAAGTTACTCTAGTAATAATTTAAAATCATTATGATGTCAGGTTGAAGCAAAAAGGCAGACAAATCCGTTTTACTGTTGGCGCCCTGGATTTGGTGAAAATTCATTTCTGTTTAATTATATTATAACATACCTTTTTGGGAAATGTGAGTGTGCTCAGTAAATGTCCTTACGAAATGCCTTATTAGATTTTGTAAACATTTCGGAGTCTAAGTAAATACAGGTAATTTTGTATATAATATCAAAGGCCATGATAAAGAACAATTTCAACAAACACTGTAAATCTCATCAGGAGATTATGCTCCAATTCAAACACTGAGTAAGTGCATTGAACAAATCAATGACTGGATGTGTCAGAACTTTCTCCAATTAAACAAAGATAAAACTGAGGTAATGGTTTTTGGAGCCAAGGCAGAACGTATAAAAGTTAGCGCTGAGCTTCAGTCTGCAATGTTCAAAACAACAGATAAAGCCAGAAATCTAGGTGTAGTCATGGACTCTGACCTGAGTTTCAACAGTCACATTAAAACAGTTATTAAATCAGCCTACTATCACCTAAAGAACATATTTAGGATTAAAGGACTAATGTCACAGCAGGATTTGGAAAAACTTGTCCATGCTTTTATCTTCAGTAGACTGGACTACTGCAATGGTGTCTTTACAGGCCTCACTAAAAAATCTATTAGAAAGCTGCAGCTAATTCAGAACGCCGCTGCTCGAGTCCTCACTAACACTAAGAAAGTGGATCACATCACTCCTGTTCTGAAGTCTTTACACTGGCTTCCTGTGTGTCAAAGAATAGATTTCAAAATATTGTTGCTGGTTTATAAAGCTTTGAATGGTTTAGGCCCAAAATACATGTCTGACCTACTGCTAAATTATGAACCATCCAGAACTCTCAGGTCTTCAGGGACTGGTCAGCTTTCTGTCCCCAGAGTCAGAACTAAACATGGTAAAGCAGCGTTCAGTTATTATGCTCCAAATATCTGGAACAAACTCCCAGAAACCTGCAGGTCCGCTGCAACTCTTACTACTTTTAAATCCAGGCTGAAGACTTTTCTTTTTGCCGCTGCTTTTAATTGAACTATTCACATCTTAAACTGCACTGTAACTTTTATCCATGTATTTTTTATTTTAATGTTTATTTTATTATCTTTTCTTTTTAATGACTGATTTTAAATGCCATTTTCTTAATGTCTTCCATTTTTGTAAAGCACTTTGAATTGCCTTGTGTTGAAAGGTGCTATATAAATAAACTTGCCTTGCCTTGCCTTACTGTGATACTCACCTGTACAGACATGTTTGTCTGTCCTCAGGTGAACTTTTAGGATCACCTCAGTTTACGTCTCTGACCTGTTTTTGTAATGACTGAAGACAGTTAAGGGTGTGTCACAAAATTGTGTATACACGCAGCCAGACAATAGCAAGTGGTGTTATTTTTTGCTGTTTAAATTTACAGCACAAACATGTGAACGATGTTGTCAGAGTTACCTTCATTACGCGGTACCTCCTCCTTACAGTTGAGAATCTAGTAGTTACTTTGAAAAACGATATATTACATGTAAAGCATAATATTAGTGTTTAAAATAAGATGCATTATTAGAGGAGAACTTCCCAATAGTATAAAACATTAAAATGTTACATACATAACAATGCATTAGTAATAATAATCCAACTATACACCCAGACAGCTCTGTGCACTTAATTTATTTGGATCGTTCACAACATTTAGCTGCTCATACAAGGATTTAAGGATAATTTATTATCATTGTGGATCACAGGGTTGCAAAATGAAATGAGGTTGTAGTTCATTCATGACTCGAGAACAACATGACCATACAAAAACAGTAGTGCATTCCTGTTGTGCATTCTTTTAATTTACATCAGGAGGAATGTAAACCGCACAAATAGAAGAAAACTGTGAATTATCAGTAAAGAATCTGCATCTTAACATTGTGACAACAGGGAAATATTGTCCATCAACTATGATGTTTAAGCACCAAGCATCAGTGATTGCTTTTATTAATATAATGTATCCCTAAACTTCCACCACTGCTACTCAGCAAGGTATATAATGTCAAATGTTTTGTTGAGATTAAACATGTTAGCCTTCATTTATGCTGCCACTGTACATCCTGCAAGGGTGCTGTAACCTGCAGAACCTGTTTGAGGCGTGATCAAATAAACACAATAATGACAATGCTCTCTTACATTAAACATGTACGACTAATAAGATTCACAGTGTATGGTGCATTTTCATAATGCACTGGTTTCATTCAAATACAATTTACAATAGCCTGTAAGTTTATGTTTCACATGAATAAACCATGTGATAGCTATTGAAACACAAGCTGCATGTCATGCTCTTTCTACAATGTATTTAGCAAGTTGTGCATGAAGGAGAAAAGGTTTGTTGATCTAAAATAAAACAAAGGATTCAGGTACATGTTACTTAGATTTGGTTTGCAGATACAAGACAAGGGATCCATTGTGACACACATTTTAAAACAACACAGACAACAGGCAAATCTTTAAGAAGTCCCCCGAGCTCCATCATTAAATACATTTAAAATCCGGTTGTACAAACATGAACATCCAATGGCCTGAAATGTTGACTTAGTTTCATCCCTGCTCTGACTCTCAGAGGGAGAAACACTGTCAGGTGATTTCCAGGCCGAGACCAAACCTCACCTGTGATGGAATGATCCAACTGTCACATTTAACAACATGTGACCTGCGTGCAGCACTGACACACCCACAATCTTTATTTCATACGACGCCTTATAAATACCATCTGAACACACACATTACGCACAAATATTTTTTATTTCCACACCAGGTATGTATGGGAATAGCAGCATTGTTGCTTATTTGTAATAACTGCTGGGAAGCTTTATAATTCTCCAAATGTTTTGTTTCCCCAGGAAAATACTTTCTGCTCCATTGCATTTACTGCAAAGACAAAATGTGTGATCGTAAGTCTCTTTAAGTAATTGTTACATTTTTGAATCATTTGTAAGAATGCTTTGGAGTTGTTTTGTAATTAATAACATGTTTTTAACAAAATAAATTGTATTTGTTTTTTGTCTTTCCATCACAGGCGAGGCCAAGGTGAGTTTATTTTCTTACAGTGCAATAGGCCTGTTACTAACGGCATGACAACATGTGTACTTATGAAGTGTTTCCCTCATCTAGACCACGATGGAAGAGGGAAAAGAGGAAGGAGGTGAAGAAGGTGAAAAGGTAAGACATTTTAGAACTTAATGTGTGCTTTAAACTGGGCTGCCCCTCTTGCTGATTCAGTCATTTTAAAGTGCTTGTATCGACTTCCCATTAACCAGGGAGAAAAGGGACATGGAAGAGGAGGACAACATGGAAGAGGAGGAGAACATGGAAGAGGAGGAGGACGTGGAAGAGGAGGAGAACATGGAAGAGGAGAAGAAGAACAAGGGAAAGGACGTGGAAAATGAGAAGAACATGGAAAAGGACATCAGAAATAAGAGCAGAATTCCTAAAACTTCCATTCTGCGATAATGCTTGTAAAGAATGAAATACATATTCAATAAATCAATTCAGAAAAAATACTGGTTTGCTGTTGTTTACATAAATGAAATGTTGGGGGAAGACTTCAATACTTTATATTCATGAGAAATATATGAAATGATCTCTGTAATTTGATAGTGGTATACACACACAGTGGACAGGCTGGAGTTTCCCTGAGGAATATTATGATGTGGGTTTGTATTGGATGTTTGAGCTATGACAACATTATGAGAACCTCTGCGTAGAATAAGCACATTGAGAAGGCATTGAAATAATACAAGTCAGGATGACTACATAGAAACCAATCAATTTTAACACCAATATTAAACTGAAACATTATGATATGTACATAGACACAACAGAAAACACACTGTTATGTTTAAGTTAAATTAACCCTAATACTCAGAGACAGAAATATAAGTTACTCTAGTAATAATTTAAAATCATTATGATGTCAGGTTGAAGCAAAAAGGCAGACAAATCCGTTTTACTGTTGGCGCCCTGGATTTAGTGAAAATTCATTTCTGTTATTATATTATAACATACCTTTTTGGGAAATGTGAGTGTGCTCAGTAAATGTCCTTACGCAATGCCTTATTAGATTTTGTAAACATTTCGGAGTCTAAGTAAATACAGGTAATTTTGTATATAATATCAAAGGCCATGATAAAGAACAATTTCAACAAACACTGTAAGGGCATTAAATGTTTCTGCTTTATTTTCAAATTGTGAGCTCTTTTCTAAAGAGGGGACTTATGTAAGTTATAAGGGTAATTAATAATAAAACATTGTCAGTGCACATAGGCCTACAATGGGATCTGGAGTGCCTGCCAACCCACATAACATAACATAATCGGTTTATTGTGGGCTGCCTTGGTCAGAAAACATGGGGTTAGATAACGGCTCCCCTTCCTCCTGTATGTCACATGCATACTTTATATGATAGCCATACTGGTGTCCATTCATTTATCTCCAACCACAGCATGAGAACTATATGCACAATTATTTTCCTAAAACTACTCAGAGCAGACTGGGTCCAAAGAAACAGGCACTCTAACAGGGCGTTTCAGACAGCGTTAATACAGGTATATCCTGACAGACAGTACACAGAAACGAGGGGTTTTGAACATTAAAGCATTTCAAGTATAAACTATGAATAAAACTATGAACCTACATTATATATCCTCTTTAATGGAATAGTTTGCTATTTTGGGACATTTGCTTATCAGTTTCTTGTAAAGAGTTATATAACATACCATTCTCATATGTAGACTATGTTTGCTAAAAACAAAGCTGCTACCAGCAGCCAGTTAGCCTAGCCTAGCATTAGGACAGCTTGGTCTGTTAACAGGTAACAAAATCAACCATTGTCATTACAACTTACTATTAATCAATAATCATTAATGAGAACGTTTTATCTTGTGTGTTTTATTCCATACAAAATAGTTGGAAGTTATGCTATTTGAAAGCTGTAGCTTCAAATTTGCCCCAGAGAGAGTTATCAATATTCTTATCTTAATCGTGGCAACAACAAAAAATACTCTTTTAAAACACTCCTTTTGTCAATGTTGTGCATATTCCAGAATGACTGTTTTCAATGAAATGATGCACTGAAGCACAGTTGCAAGCTATTCCAGCACAGAAAACATAAGAGGAAATGGAGAGAAAATAGGAAAAAGTGGGGGGAAATGACATGAGTAGCAGAATGCTTCCAGATGATTTTGATTGGGCAAGCTTCATCACTCTGTTCACTCCATTGCTCTCAGGTGTGCGTGCAGATCCTTCATTGAATGTTTTAAAGAGTGGATCTGTCAGTCACTCTCAAACACTGTTGTTTTCCAGGGCGAACCCAATTCTGTATATCATGCAGTCAAATTTTAGAACATGAGACCTGCTGCAGTCCCAACACACCCACATTCATCTCATACAACATCTTGTAAATACAGACTGAACACACCCATCAGATGTAGATAAATATGATGTCTGCACCAGGTATGTAGTAAAATAGCAATATTGTTTTTTATTTGTACTGACGGATGGGAAACTTGAAAATGTTCCTCTCTTTTTATTCTTCCCAAGGAACAGACTTTCTTCTGCACTTAAAAAGAACACAATGAATAAATGTAAGTCTCTTTGATTAAATGTTATATATGTGTTGCTCTGAAATAGTTTTCGGTGCAGGATTTTTTTTTTTACATTTTGGTTCATGTGTCATTTCTCTTTTAACTGCAACTTTTTCCCCCCGTTTTTTTGTTTTGTTTTCCCCATCACAGCCAAAAAGGTGAGCTTGTTTCCTGACAGTGCTCATGGCCTGTGACTAACAGCATAAAACAATGTGTACTTATGAAACAATTCATCTTTGCTAGGCCGAGAAAGTGGAAATTGGGCAGGAGGAGCAAGGCCCAGCCTATGACTTTGACGGAGTAAGAATTTGTTCAGCCTCATGATGTGTCCTATGCCCCACTGACTGATTTAGTGAGTTTGTAGCTCCCATATTCATTTTCCATATTTTTTTTACACCCTTTTTGAGTTCAAACTAAGCAGCCATTCGCCTCTCTCTGTTTAAAGAAAATGCATCATTGGTTTGTTTTGTTTTTGCAGGAGAAAAAGGAAAAGGATGAAAAAGAATGTAGACAAGGAAAAGGATGTGGAAAAGGAAAAGGATGTGGAAAAGAAAAGAAACAAGGTGGTGGTCGTGCTGTTGGTCAGGTTGGTCCTGGTGACTGTGGTGCTCCTGATCCTCCTCCTGGTTGTAATAATACTTGAACGATCATTCTTTGAAAATGCTTGTAAAGAATGAAAGACATATCTCATAAACATATCCAGAAAAGGCTTGACTGCTTTTTTTGTTTATTCACATAAATGTTGTAGTAAATGTATCATTAAGTCTCATTTAAGTATATAAACTTCCTTCTCTGGCTTTATTTTCCCGCAGTTTGAATGTATCAGTCCTAATGTAAGCTAGGGCCCATTCCCAGGCTTTATCACACCTTTAATACAAAACACTGGCAACCTTCTGTTCTCTTGCACTCAACAGACAGGAGGGGGCCACTGGACCATTGTCAGGCAAATTATCATACGGATGTTACCTGTCCAATGTCCCTTTTGTTATCTGCTCTCATCTGTATCTCTGACATTGCTTCTCTGTGTAACAGGGTCAGATCCTGGTACTATCTACTAGTGCAAGACCTCTGGCCTTTCCAGCTGGAAATAAGATTGATTCTGTTAAATGCTATAACTCTTTATTAAATAACACGACTTTGGTTTAAGCTTGTATATTTGTTCTTTTCTTACCAGAAGGTGACTAAGTGTGGAATTTCCACCACAACAAATAAACACATATAACCATGTCTCTTCTGTAATTTGATGCCGGTAAACACACACAGTTGGCTGATGCAGGGCAGAGTTTTGCACAGGAGTATGATGATGTGGGTTTGTTATGAATATTTCAGTCATGACAATATTGCATGGCAAACAAACAAATGGAAAACACCAACTACACCTAAATTATGTTGAAACAATATAATACAAAAATCAGGATTAAATCACTGGTATGTGGCTGCAACAGCAAATGTCTAACCTTAACTCAGTATGACCACCCAAGGGCTTAAAGTTGCACTTGTTATGAATGCAAGTTCGCACACACATTTCTTACACATTGATCCTCCACTGGGCGACAGCTCACACCAAAGCCTTTCCTCTACTGCCATCTTCGTGAAAAACCGTTCACTTTTTTTATCAACATACTAATCCATAATAATGTGCCCAGCCGTAGGGATCCAGGTGGGCAGAGGAACCTAACAGTTCATATATAATCTGTTTTTGCTCCAGTTGTATTGCAACCTGAACCATCATTACACAAAATTACCATCAGATGCATCAAGTTCAAATCATCTGGCAACATCAGCGACCGCAGTGCTTGTTCTTCCCATAGACTGTATATATAAAGGGTTCTTCCCCATTGGACCATTTTCTGCTGCAGCATTATGGTGAATTATGAGTCACTGTTGAATGCAATTTAGAGTCTGATCTTGTCCCTCACCTCAGGATGCTCAGACGCATTTTCTATTGAGATGACATGGGGTGCTTTGTTGCTTGTGTAAATTGTCTATTGCTTACATGTGAAAGTGTTTTGAACTCTTCCCTGTACTCATTATTAGCCTTGCTATGCTAACACCATAGCTGTCACATATACACCCACAGTCAGCACAGTGGTGTTTTACCTCAGAGTCTATGTGCTTTCATCTGCATGTTCATTAGCCAGGACTATTATCTCATCTGCCATATACGCCTCAGTTTCTCCAAAATGCTGGAAGAGAGGAGTAGTCTTTCTGGGTTTCTGCCTCCAAAAGGCTTTGAGCCCTAGAGATTTTGAATGGCGTTTGGAATAAAAAACGTGTTGATTAAGGAGTTGATTGGCTTCGCTGTCTTCCACAGATGACTTATGTTCTGCATTGCTGAATTTATGTATTTCTGAGGCTGATAATCCACCAGCAGTATTTAGGTACACAGAGTCTCTGGTGTGTCTGTTGAGGATTGTAACGGCGTGATGTGCATCATGGCTGCTTCCCTCACCAGGTTTTATGGTAGAGTTGAAGCAGTTGAGTGATGTCGAAAAAAGTTTCTTTAATGCATTCAGCTTCCGTGTAAACTGATTTTGGTCCAATCGTGGAGCTTCAGCACGAGAGTGCCTCTGGTGCTCTGTAAGAGATGCCGTTTCAAGTTTTTCACAGATTTTCTCTTCACAGCTCTGCACAACCATGTTCATCATGAAACATGTGCAGTATGAGTCATTGCACTCCTCACACCTCCTGCTTTCAATCTATCCGTGTTGATCCCAGGGAAAGACATTTAGAAGAAGTGCGTTTTATCCTGAGCATTATTAATGGACTATGCCGAGTACCGGTAGTCCCTGACGTAGTTATATTTCAGACTATCCATGGTCCTCCTGCTGGTGGAAAATAATGTGTTCAATAATAGTTCAAACACACTTTTGACTTGTTCTTGCAGTTTGCCATGCTGGTACAGCATCTGTTATCAT